GGTCCCGCCTCCCACGCTGTATCCAGTTCTTATTATACATCCATGACTTAAACACACGCTAATATAACAAAGCTTTCCTCCTGACAAATTCAACACAGATTTGTTGTTTACATTGTAGCATTATCAGGGAAATAACCTAAGGTGCTGTTTACACGAGAACGCAAACAGCTGAATCCGCTACTTTTCTCTTTCGTATAGCCCGTTCGTTCACACGAGGCCGTAACGGAAACGCGACAAGTGGACATGGAGAATTACATGAACTACATGTTGCTAAATCCACCGCGGGCATAAACAGAAGGGTCTTCTTCGCTGCTTTTGGTGTATTTTGTGGCGTCACTTACAGGCCTGTCATATGTACTACAGCGTCTCCAGCGCTTTCAAGCAGTCTCGTGCGGAAGTACAGCGCCACTTACAGGCCCGGCATATGTACTACAGCGTCTCCAGCGCTTTCAAGCAGTCTCGTGCGGAAGTACAGCGCCACTTACAGGCCCAGCATATGTACTACAGCGTCTCCAGCGCTTTTGAGCGGTCTCGTGTGAACGTAAGACTTTTTTGATATCGTATTTGGTTCGTTTGCGTTTCGTATGCGTGTAAATGGGGTCTAAGTTACCCTGGGGGAAGAATGGCTTTAACGCACTCTACATACTGGTTATAGGAGTTTCAAATTGATAAAAAATGTTTCGATCTATGTTTGCTATTAGATGAGAACATAAAGAATTATGTTATATGTGGGACAGTATTTCAGATCTTTAGTCACAGAAGTATATACTAACCTTATTTCAAAATGTAAATGGGGGAGGCAGTTATTCATCATCATCAAGGCAGATAGCAAAACACACAGCACAATAAAAAGGCAAAAAGCTAAAATAATTCATAACGTAATCATATGAAGAGGCATAAGTACCTGTAAATCTATCAGGTTGAAGGTCACGCAGCACACCTAGGTGACCTGGTCCATTCGGGTCTGCAGCTGGACCGCATCGGGCCGGTCCTGAGGGTTGACGGCGAGCATTTCCTGCAGCAGCTTCCTCACTCCGTCAGACATGCATGACCTGCGTTTCTGTGGGATGTTCAGTACCATCTTTGGATTCTCTAGCAGTGCCTCACCCACCGGCACAATGTCCACTCCCTGCCTCACATAGGTACCCAGCAGCTCCCGCTTAGACTCAGCATCAATGAAGGTAATTCTTTCCAACATGGCCCAGATGATGATGCCTAGGGCAAATATGTCAGCCTTGGCCGTGTAGTGGCCCTCCCACACCTCTGGAGCCATGAAGAAGTCTGAGCCGCACGCAGAGGACAACCAGAACTTGTTCACGTTAATGTTTTTGTTCTTGTCTTCGCCTTCTTTGCCAACGTTTGTGTTTCCTATACCAGCGCAGACTTTACTCAGGCCAAAGTCGGCCACCTTGAGAACTGGAGTCCCTGATCTCTCTGAGATGAGGATGTTGTCAGGTTTGAGGTCTCTGTGGACAATGTTGTTTTCATGCAAGAAAGCAACGGCGCTGGTCAGCTGGAGCATAAAGCTGTTGTTGGTTTGCGGGTTGGGCCTCCGGGACAGGATGAACTGGTTGAGGTCGCCGCCTTCACAGAACTCCATGACGAACCAGAGGTAGCACGGCTCCTCTGGAGGACCGAGCACTCTCTCACCTGCAACACATGCGACTCAGTCATTTCATCGTTTCACATTGATGCACACTACTCCAAATAGCGACGTGTGCCAAGTAAAAAAGAGAATAAATGAAAATACAGATAAATGATTTACATTTAGAAAATAAATTTGGCCATCAGCTACAGATGTATTAGATATATGTGTGTTTTACATGCACCTGTATTTGCATCATTTGAAAGAGTGAATGGGTATTGTGCACCCGAACTTTCTGAACGTAATGTTTTCATTCACTGTATTCTACTACAGGGTGTTTCTTGAAGAGGTTATTCCTGTGTAGTTATATTTATTGGTATCTCTACATCTCCAACATGCTTTGGTGTATTTTGATGTGCAGCAAATGTGCCAGCAAGAGTTCAAAACTAAAACTGTTTAGCCACTGTAATATTACTGATGTGGGCCCAATATTCATGGACTGTATACTTATGCTAAAACAATACTGGTATTTGGTGATTTGATGTGAATAGATCACATCATTTAAAGGAAGTATATCTTCACACAGCTGCAAACACATGTATCACAGAGGCCACAAAACTTGCAATAGACACAGAAGGGAACCAGCACACAGCACATGAGAATATAAAATGAAAACTATAGGAGGAAAGTGTAAAACACCTCTGAACAGCCAACACAGCAGACTCCATTTTAGTGAGAGCTCTCTCAAAACTACCCAACCCCCAACGGCTATGTCATGGCGACAACAACAATCTCCTGCAGGGTAAGATTCAGAACTGCAATACACACAACTTGCGATTTTAAATGTAACCCTTATACCATTACAACTTAGGTTAGTTTTGGGAGTATTAAGGTAATGTCATTAACTTCAATTCTAAACTGAAGGCAGCACATTCTTCCCACAGCTCACAGTAATGATAATGGTAAGAAGCCTCACCTTTCAGAGAAGTCTCCACCAGACGCAGGTACTGTTTGGATCGTTTGTTCCCGTGACTCATCTTCTGGGCCATGCCGTTCCTCTGCAGCACACACTCTTCCAGCTGCACCACGTTTTCATGCCGTTTCTCCAGGCTTGCCAGGGCCCAGAACTCCTGCAAGGCGAGCTCCACGTTTTCCGGCGCGTCGCATCTCAGCTTCTTTACGGCCACTTTGGCCCCGGACCTCCGGGCCACCGCTTCAAACACCACGCCGTAGGTGCCCCTGCCCACCTCCCGCAGCAGGCTGTAGCGGGGCGACATGACTCGTCCCTCCAGGTTGTCCTGCTTGAGGCCGATATCCTCCTCCATGTCATGGCCTTCTTCCGTGTTCCCCACACTCAGACAACGCAGCACATTGGACTCATCAGCTCGCGCTCTGGTTGGCTTGGAGCAGGCTCGCGCGCTCCTCGTGCGTCTCCGCCAGTTATCCCCACCAACAGTATCCATACGAAGCCTTTACGATTCAAACATTAAGTATAAAAGAGTCGACATATTGTCAACAGCCGCACTAGCCATGCTGTCCCTCACTTTGAGGAAACATTAGAGAGTTGCTCAGCTGTGGAGGTTAAAGGAAGAAGAGAGGAAGTGACGGAGAATGAGAGGAAAAAAACAGACCTTCCGATCAAGACCTTCAAAATAAGACCTGAAATATCGAATACGTTGGCATTTAGGCCACACGCTACAATTTCAGAGTTGTTTTATTGAGCCCCAAAAGTCCCTTTAGGTTTGTGTGTTTATAGTGCGCACTATGTATTATACTTTTTATGAATCCTTGATGTTTTCCACTTGGAGCCATTACTCCCCCCCCCCCTCCGTCCATTTTGCACGAATGGTTTCTTCCCTTTCGGCACGTGTCCAGCATAGGCTACACCATTGGCTAAAACGATGGATGTATTGTCACGACGTGTTGTAGCCATGTATTGCGTTTGAAATATACGGCGGGAGAACGTTTCCTTCCAAACCAAAGCCTCAGTTAATAAATAAAGTGAATTCAAATTAGAAAGATCAATATATATAGACGCAATTCACGCAAAAAATAGTAAAGTAAGCTAAAATAGTTTTTGATGTAGGTCATGATTCTACGGAGCCACCTAGGGAACATGGAGAAGAAAAAACAATTTATTTGAACAAAAGAAAAAAAAAATGTTTTGCGATATCTCGCAAAACCCCGTTGCAGTTTGTAGACGGTCCCTAAGCACTCCTCTCCCTCCTCAAGCTGCAGATTGTGACCAATTCTTGATGTTTAGCTCGGATGACGGCGCGTATCGTACTGTTCTGATAAAAACAACTCTGTAGCTCGTTGTCTTATCTTGCTATGATTGTAAAGTCATGTTGTTTGTATTTTTACAACATTATGTTCATGAGTTATTGATCCGCGAAATTCGAATCTGTCAATAACTCCTCTCAGAGGGACGTGCATGTCCCCTCGCTCTGAGTGTTCTCTTGAGGTGTCTTCACTAATGTGAAACCCTTTATATATACAGTATATGTCTGAAACCCGTGCCTATTGCCAATCACTGATGTTATATCTTTATATGTAATGCCAAGCTCAAAGTAAAATCGATGAACCGCTCCATTGTTAAAGGGATATACGCTCAAAAAATGGCGTACGGCAGTTTCTACGCAATGTTTGCGATTTATAAAATACTAACTTGACGGGAAAACCTGCGGTCCTCCCACGCCAAATCCTAACCATGGCGTACGCACGTAACCACACAAAACGGGAGAGACGAGAAACCTGCGACACCGTTGGCAGAGGAAGAATGGAGAGAAATATGTGGAGAATAATACGCATAAATCAAATGTTACCTCTCATTTATCATATATGAAGAATTCATTTCCAAACATTGATTAAAGCCAATCTTAAAATTATTCAACAAACGCCTGTTTGAGACTCCTCAGTGCACACCAAAAACATAACTGGGAGAAATAAATCAAATAGCGGATATGTTATTTAAAAAACATCTCGAATATGTTGTGTTAATGTTATGAACATGTTTTCTCATAAATGATGAGGTAAGCAGGAAGACAGAATTACGCGTCTAAACTGACGCCGTTTCTGCATTCTAATAGGTTGTAGATACGAGCCATGGTTTCTATATATGTTTTAATACATGGTTTTATCGTGTTTTTATGCCGTTTGGCCAAGACTTGAAATAGCGTCGTAACACCACACATTAGTTGTATTCCTTGCGCCACAGCTGATCGATAGCTGGGGGACACAAACCACCAAATACAAAAACATAATTCAGATCCAGTCGTCATGACTCCACTCCGGAGGGATCCCCGATCAATTTCTTACGTTACTCATCAAGGGAGGTCTCCTGTCCCCTCCTAATAACATGATATTAAACATATATAAAACCATGGTACAAACAGCACTGCCTGAGGAAGCTATGGTATTCTTTGTTGTAATATAACCTTTTTCTGACCCTTGTGTATTGTATTTTGGTGACGATCCGACCTCCAATGCTGCCTACTCCTGGTCAAAACCCTGGGCATCCACCAAACAATATGATTTATTCGACCTCCCCCCAAAATAACGCAAATCTGACCCAGCGGTGGGTGAGATGGTTTTTTTAGGCTTGTTCTGTCGTCATTTCCTGCGATTTCTCCATGCAGTCAGTCAAAATGAATGAATGAAAGGCCGTTTCTTTGACTATTTATTAGAGCAAATTTGGGCGTTACGTTGAAGCCCCGAGCGCAAAAGCTGGCACAACGCATTTCAGTCGGGTTGTGATTTATCAAAAGGAAACCGGCGTAGAAGTGCCAATACGCACTTTCTTCGGGCCGGTACGCAATGTTTGGTTAACGGAAAAGTGGCGGAAAAATGTATGGAGCCGTATTTTTGCGATTTCTACTAACGTAAGGCAACGCTTCCCCACGTCAATCCTAACGGCACCGGCAGTTATACATGAGGGCCCAGGAAGGTACATTGAGCCTAAATGAAAAGTATTGCGGGATCTCGCAAAAGTATTGGCGAGATTCTCCGCAAGGGGTCTTGCGAGATCTCGGCGATTTTTTTTTTTCTTCTATTCTCAAATAAAAAAATGTTCTTTCTCCATGTCCCCTAGGGGCTCCGGTATGATTCAACTCGTGATTTCCCTTTTCTCCTAAGCAGACACACAGAGGCAGCGTATTCCAAATGGCTGTGAAGGTGTCTGTTAGCACAGGGGACAGGCAGTGGACGGTTCTAGACCAATTTGACTGGGGCGGCCCCCCCAGGGCTGGGGGACACAGTTAGTTTTCTGAGTGGCGGCACAATAAATGGGGCAGAGGACGAAAAAGACAAAGACAATATGAAGGTATTGCATACAAGCAAAACAATGCAATACTGTTATTGGTATTTGGTTTTCAGTAGCAGCATGTCTTATTCAGATACTTATAGTTAGGGGCAGTTTTACGCTCTAATGCAGGGGTTAGGCACCTTTTTTAGGAAGAGACGCTAGGCTTTAAAAAAATAAAACAGTCGTGGAGCTCTTTTACTCCTCTTTTTTTTGTTTTTTGCAGTGTATCATAGTTTAGCCCACATTTTAACGATTATATATGCTGACCTTTACATTTGTTTGCTGTTTGGGTGCTGGTGGGACCCGTTTTCAGTGTTAACCGTAAAAGGACAATGTACCAATTTCATTATTTTACCCCTGCTTTTTTGGGGGGGGACCTCAACACTCCTCTAGGGGGGTGCCAGGGAGAAAATGCTCTCCCGGGAAGAAATGTTTAAAGCTTGAAGTTAAACTGCATCAATCTGGTGCACTTGAGCACAAAA